TATCCAGACGCTTACCTTGAAGCCGGACCTCACTCGTGTGCTTGAGTGGAATTTCTGTTCTGTTATTTGTGGTGCCTTTTCGGGCTCTTCCTAATATGCAATATAATAGTATACAAATATCAAGTGAACTATGATCCGTTATGGATCGCTACACGTACCAAAAGTCACCTTAACTGTCCTTGCGCCTTCTCAGGTCTCCACCGAGCGTTCAACCGCTAGTCGCACCCACCGAAGAGTCGCTCGAACCGTCACCGAGTCGTAGTACCGTAGCCCGCCGGTTCTTGACCGCTTGAATGCGAATCCAGCGTCACCGATACGGACCACCCGACTTGAGTTACATCTTGATCATTGGCGGACCCAACGAGCGCTCGGTAGTGACGTATCCTTGGCCATCTTGCACAGTGGTCACCACCTGTCGCATGACCGAGCGTTCGTGGCTTGAGCAGCGATTACTTAGAAATCGCTACATCACAGATACATCAATGGTTATATTTGGCAGACCACTGGTCTGCATGCATTCAGACATCCTATTGGTAGAAGGGTAACATCTTTTCACCAATTACAGCTGTAGGGTTCTGTCAATACCTTTCATAAACAATATCAATTTAGGAGGAAAACTAACAAAGACATGAATCATAAATAACAGTTCTCATTTACCGTAAGTCGGCTTGTTTTACTTATTTAAGTAAATCTATCCTTTCAGACGAAAGTATTCTTGATCTACGTAAAAAAAACGCTTACTTCTACACATGCGCACGTGTAAGCCGAAGTAGTGGACACACGAAAGGCCTATTACAGGCAAAGCGACGCCAAGCGAGGATCGGCAGGATAGCAAAGAGCCCTCTCAGTAGAAGTTGGAAGTAGACGGTGGGGAGGCTTCGTAGGCGAGGTCCACGGGCGGCGGCTGGCAATCGACCCTCAGTCAAGATTGTTCCCGGTCGCGGTTAAGACTAAATAAAGGGGAGAGGTACCGAAGGACGGGTTTCTAAGGGAAAAAGTGAGCAGGAAAGCGTTGGTAG